CATACATATATTTTGTGTAGATCTTTACTTGATTGAGTTGATCAAAAAGTTTTAAAATTAAAAGTAAGAGATACCTATTTTTGATGGTAATCTTATTAAGTCCTTGATAGTCTATATACATCTATAAAGATCTATCTTTTTTTCTTCACAAATAAGATAGGAACTCTTATTGGGGATTTCAAATAGCATATAAAGTTTTTAGCCAAGTTTTCTTTAATATACTCTTTTAATGTAGCCAATTTATTTTACAATAAGTTGTAGATTGGATCGAATGGTAGTTAAGTTTTTTCTTACAAATCAATTGAATTATCATAGGATTAATATTTTAGAAGAATATTCGTATTTTTCTTTTCAAAAATATCTTTAAAATCTTCATATTGGCTAAAAATATTACTTGATATCTTTCCACCATCAAAAATAGGAATGGTATATATAGTAAAAGATGATCTTTCTTTTGCCATTGTAATAAAAGCTTTTACACCTACAAATAATAATTTGGATAAACTTAACTTATATATTTCTATTTAGCTAACAAAATTTTGGATCAAACTTTAAAAAAAATTAAAGTTATGAGAAATCTAATCTATCTAAGGATTATATTTTTATAACTAAGATAATTCTAAAATAATTGAATTAAATAAAGATTTTATTATATTAAATATTATTATATTATTATGATCTTTAATTATTACATCTAAAAGAATCGTCTTATAGGTAATATCTTCAAAAGATCAAATATAATCATCTATAACTTCTACATGTATGGATTTAATTTTCTTAACTAATAATATCTCTTATTTTTTGACAAAGTATTCATCTATAAAATAAACTGAGGCTCTTGAATCTAACAAGGCTAAGACTTTGAGATTTTTTGGTCCTAAATAAACTTCTATTATGAAATAAGATAAGAGATCTAAAGAGAGAGTAGGACCCTTACTAGGAATTATGCAAGATTTTAGCTAAGTAGTACCTATTATAGCTAGAAAAACTTCTTTTTTTATACATCATTGTCTTTGGCAACCATGCTCATTATTTTGTGATTGTGTTGTTTTTTTAGATAACATTGAGTAATGTATTTAGTTTCTTCATAATATAAGTATAAGCCCTTTTGAAAACATTAAATCTTTTTCCATTTCATAAAGAATTTAAAATATATTGTGTCAATTTGCATTAGTTCTCACTTTAATAAATAAGTTTTTGAAAACTTAAGAACTATCATCATTATTTGACTTGTTCTTCTCTAGCCAAGTTTTTGTTTTTGGTGTCTTTTAATAATTTATTGTTATATGCAATGGCTTGAGCAATAAATTATTTTAAAGATTTTACTTTTGGTATTGTCAATAATAAATCTTTAATATTATCCTTCAATTCATATTGAAATTGATTGATAATGCCTTTGTCATTTCAGTCCACATTGCAAGGAAGGTTTTGAAATTTAGCAACATATTTGGTGGCTAACCATGATCCTTGTTGTAAAAATAAGAGCTTAATCTTCGCTACTCTTTCTCAATCAATTTCTCCAAATGTAATTGTAAACACTTCTAAGAATGATTTCAAATCATAAAAGAGTTGTAAATCATTTTCCATCAAAGGTGCAAACTAAGAGAGAAAAATTCTAGATAGAAGTGCATCCATGAATCCAAATTAAGTAAATCCATGAGGATATTGGAATGGATGCAATCTTAGATAGAAATTGACTTATTGCAAAAATCCTAAAAATTTTGATCTTGTTCCATTAAACTTCTTGGGCATACTAATCTTTGTCCTTATTATATTTATAGAAGCAAAACTTCTTGAATTTAGTTCTAAGATTGATTTACTTACTTCCTTCAATTGTACAACTTCTTGATGTAGACTCTAAACTTCTTCCATAAGCATAGGATTAATATTTCCACGGTTGGTGCTTGTGATGCGTAAAATTTCTATCTTAAGAATATTGACAAGTTTGTAAAGATTAGGAATAATTACAAATCTATTCACTTTCACAAAGTATAGCATCCATAATTTTTCCTTCTATTTCAAACAACTTAATAAATCTATAAGTCAAATTAGATAAGGATAATTTTTAATCTCTAATATTAAATAAAAATTTCCACAAAGAAGGATAATCCATTTTCTTAAAAAAAAAATAAGTATAAAAAAAATAAATATTTTATTTAAAAATAGATAATTTATAATATTTAAAATACAATAATAGAAGTGGTGTAATTCACTCACTTTTAAAACAAGACAAGAACAATGAATTAGCACTCTTATCAAACTATCAATGACATGAATCTTAAAGAACTAAAAGATCAAGATATTATTTTATTACTCAAAAAGACTAGATTATCACTTAAAGAGGATATAATATTAAATATTATCAAGTCCAGTAAGGTCACTAAGGGCACTTCATACACCATCCATAATACCAACAATGACTTTTGTGGTTACTTTACCTTCATTGATGGCTCTATTGATTCCACAAGGTGTATCCATATATTTATAAGATTTGGATACATTTCTTGAATTGAAGCTTGAGTCTCTACATTCTTACTTAGATGAGATGATCTCATAGCCACATTCCAATTTTAATTTAGGACTTCTATTCTTTATGAAATTTGATAGTAATGAAAAAATTACTTTAATAAATAAAACAAAATTTTCTTCACCAAACTCTCTTATACCTCTTTCATCCATCCAAGAGGTCTTTGGACCTACTAATTTTATAACCAATTTATCTAACTTTTTTTTTTTTATTGATCCTATAAGGATTTTTTGGAAGGACAAACTACTTTAGCAATGTACATAGATTACTTGTGGATCTTAAAAAGCATCCAAGTCCAATAACATTGCTTTATATGTTAGTAGATTTTTAGCCACTTTACTAGATCCACTTTTGGTTTGTGAAGTACTTGCAAGCAAAGATGCCTCACATTGATACCTAGCTATAGTAAGCAAATATAACTCTTTAATCAAGAATGACACATAAGAGTTAGTATCTTGTCCTTCTAATTACTCTATTATAAAGACTAAATGGCTATTTTATCAGAAGTATAATTTCAATGATGTTTTAGGCTGTTTTAAAGAATAATTTGTTGCTCAAGGCTTTTGATAATAAAAAGGCCTTGATTACCATGATATTTTTTTTTATCATCAAAATGACATTTCTTCATTTTTTTCCTTGCTTCAGATATTCATAATGATTTTTACATTCATCAAATGGATATTACTATGGCCTTCTTAAATGGAGTTCTTAAAGAAGAAATTTACATCACTCAATCCAAAGGCTTTATTGTATCTAGTCATGAAACCAATGTATGTTATTTATTTAAATCCTTACATAGCTTAAAACAAGCCCTTCAAGTATGGTAAGATTTTTTTAATGACTTTCAAGTCACTAATAGATTTTTAAAATGTATTTTGGATATCAATGTCTATTATGAATAATTATTTATATTCATTATCTACCTTAGACTTTACATTGATGATCTAGTTTCAATCTCAAATGATTTACCTTATGTCATTTTGATTAAAGTGTTCTTATCTTTTCATTTCTTTATGACAAACAACAAAAAAATTAAATACATCTTAGGTATTCAAATTTGCCATAATTCTGCCATCCTTACTTTAATTCTTTTTCAAAATAAATATGTGTTAGATATATTAAATTATTTTTCTATAAACAATTACCATGCCATTTCTACTCTTTTTGATATTAGTATTCACTTTTCTCACAAGGAGGGAGGAGGGGAGATATTGAATTCATGGCATCAATTCCATGTGTATACATCATTGGAAGTCTACAATACCTTTTTACTTGTATTAGGTATGACTTAGCCTTTGTTGTACATCATATGGCATAATTTATAGCTAAGCCTAATCTAATATATTGAATGGTTTTAAAGCACATATTACATTATTTATAAGGAACTCAAAATTTTGGACTATATTATTGAAGTTCTTCTTCCACACCTCTAATATAACTTTATGGTTGGAATGATGCAGATTATGTGAGATATTTAGATGCTTGCAAATCTACTTTTGGATACTTGTTTTACCTCAACTCATCTCTTTTGAGTTGGCATTCTAAGAAATAAGCCATCGTAGTACAATCAAGTATGGAAGCAAAATACATTGTAGTGGCAACATCTTTAAAAGAATTGATGTGGCTTCAAACTCTTTTGAAAGAAATTAGACATCAAGTAACTTTATCAAGTACAATTTATTGTGATAATTAATCATATATTGTGATGATATAAAATCCATGTTTCCATGATTGCACAAAACATATTAATATCAAGTATCATTAAATTCAAAAAAAAGTAAAGGTCAATGAAGTTTTTTTGAAGTTTATACCTACAAATGATATGAAGGGGGGTATAATGACAAATTCACTCCCAAAGCCCAAGCACAACAACTTCATGAAAGATTTAATCAATATTGATAATTTGAATATAATTTAGTCTATGATGATTAAGGGGGGTGTTAGATTTACTAATACATGTTAGATTAATTAATACATGTTAGTAAATATAGAATTACTATTAGGTAGTTACAAAGTAGTTACAAAGAAGTTATAACTACTTCTCTCTGCTACACAATTTCTGAGCGACGACGCTGTGCCGAACCCACAGCAGAGATGAAAATATATCTGGAAAAAGCGGCTGCCCGACCCCACTACGCCTACCCGAACAGCATTAGGTCCCGAAGCTGCCGGACGGGGGCTCCTATGACCCGGACCCGGAGATGCGCACGGCCCGTGATCGGATCCAGGATTGTGACGAGAGCTCGTCGTGATGACGAGGCCTCCCACCCAAGCCCTTTCGAAAAAGCCCATGTCGTCGTGGAGGGGTCGGAGATCCGACGACCACGTGTGCCTTGCTTGTCTCTCTCTCTGTGAGTGAGCGAGTGACCGTGTGTGTGTGTGTGTCTGTCTCGCCCTCGTTTGGAACGAATCCGCCATCTCCATCTCGCCAGCCCGAATTCCTCCGCCAAGATCCATTTGTGCCCAGGTGGATGCTTCGGAATCCACCCCATCTTCCTTCCTGCCAATTCTCGTCGCTTGCAGTGTCCTGGTTCGATCGCCACACGCGACCTCGCTGCCCATTTGCGCCATTCTCCTTTCGTTGTTGGGCGCATTCTCGATTTCATCTCATTCCCCGTGGTTCATGCCGGAGTGTGTCTTTGGAGGTCTTGGGTAGATCTGTGAAGTTCATCCTTGGAGGTCACTGTTGTCTTTTCTTTTTCTTATTTCTTTTTATTAGTTTTGGGTAGATTTGACTAGGTTTGTGATTGTGCCTTGTTCTGGCTGTGTGTGCTGATTCCTGTATGAAGAGGTTTTGAAATGGGTGTGTCTTTACTTTTTTGAGTACCAGGGACAGCCAGTGTCGTTCTGTAAGATTCCCTGGATTGTTGACGTGGTTTTCACCATTTCTTAGTCCTGTGTGCAATTGCGTAGTGTTGAGAGCTAGACCCTAATCTACCGTCAGCTGCCAATGATTCTGGTTGTGTGTGTCTGCGTGGTGTGAGGGCTCGAAATTGATGACATTGGAGGAGCTACAGCTGGTTGATTGTTTGAGTTTGGGGTCACGTTTTTTTCAGATTTGTTTTGGAAGGAAGAGAGAAAATGGCAGGCTCAGCGGATGATTGGGTGAAGGGCTCTGTGCTTCCCAATGGCCTTGCTGTCATCACGCTGGACCGCCCCAAGGCCCTTAATGCTATGAATGCAGGTGGGTCCATCTTTTCCTGTTCTCTCGTGTGTCAACAGCACATTGTTTGGAGCAAATATTGTTGAGAAATTCTATGAAATCCACGGTTTACTTTCCACTGTTAGCAATCACGCACACTCGGGCTGAAGCACTTGAAATTGAAAGTATGTAAATTGTTCAGTAGATGGCTTGTTTGATTTAGACTGATGCCTCGAGAAATTTCTCAATTGTTTACAAGGACTCTGTACACAACAAAATGCTAGCTCCTATTTTCTTGCAGTTCGGGGCTTACTGCTTGGGCTTGATTTTAGCTCACCACTCTTGAAGCACGAATGGTGTACCCCGTTTGAACAGATATGACCGCGCTGTACAAGAAGTACCTCGATGAGTGGGAGAACGACAGCAATGTGCGGGTAGTGCTGGTTGAGAGCTCCTCCTCACGCGCCTTTTCTGCAGGTTAGTGGATTTGTAATATTATTGTCTCTAAAAGCGTACTTCAATACTGAAGGTTGCCTAGCTATTCTCTTCAATTTGCATGGGCTAGTGTGTGATAGATCCTGCAAGAAAGGTAATGATGAAGGTTTGCCTTGATCGCAGGTATGGATGTAAAAGGGGTGGCAGCAGCGGTAAAGGAAGATGTTAAGACATCTGTGGTGCCAATGGTCTGCTTTTATGCTCTCTGCAAACTCTTGGTTTAGTTATGGTAAATAAATATATAGATTTGGGAGCTGAACAGACTGATTCTATATATATATATATATAGCTATGTATTTATTCATTTTTTTCCTTCTACCAGGTTTTGATGTTGGTGTTGTGTTCGGTGTGTGATCAGACATTCGGCAATGAATACAAGTTGATCTGCAAAATAGCACGGTACACGAAGCCATACATCTCCTTAATGGATGGTGTTACTATGGGGTTTGGCATCGGCCTTTCTGGCCATGGTCGCTTCCGCGTGATAACTGAGGTACACACCATCTGGCCTTCGTGGCTTTAGGATGATGGTGCTTTGTACTTGAAATAGCCTAACAGGAGTCTCGAATTGATGCTGTGGGGTTCAGAGACTTAATAGTGGATAGATTTGCAAAACAATACTAGGACGTCTTCTATTCTAGACTGTCATGTGAAAGAGTTTTTATTCTGACTTTTATTTTTATCTTTTTACTCTATGTTTATTCTTCTTTGAGAAGGAAAGAAAGGAAAGAACCTTAGGAATTAAGTTTCAAAGATACCATGTTGCAGAAAACTATTCTGGCGATGCCGGAGAATGGGATTGGCCTTTTCCCTGATGTCGGCTTTGCTCATATTGCTGCAAGAAGCCCAGGAAATGGGTCAGTAGGTGAGGTCAGCTTTTCACAGTAAACTCTAATAATTTTCGTTTCAAGGACGCAACTGATTTGAATTTAGGTAGTCATTGAACTTCCTGATATGAGTTTAGATTGGATGCAGTCAAAGGGTAGTACATTTGACTGTGGTCATCCATGTGATACAGTGCATTTTCTTCATTAGGTGTAGTTACTCCTTTGTAAAATTTGTAACAACCCAAATGTTTCTTGATGTTGGATTTTGTAGGCTCGTACATGGCCATGACAGGGGGGAGGGTTTCGAATCCAGCTGATGCTTTGTTTGTTGGTCTGGGTACACACTTTGTACCTTCAGAAAAGTTGACATCTTTGAAAGAAGCTTTCCGCAACCACAATTGGTACACTTCTGCCCTGACATTTAGGGTCCTTGAAGCATTTTTGGACAGGTCATACGTCTTGAGATTATTGAGCTGTTGCTGAAGAGTTTGAATCGGTAAATTTGACTTTCGAATTGACACAGCTTCATAATCCTAGTAGACATGGGATAAGATTTTGAGAGTGGCAATAGGCAAAGCCGACCACACAATGTTTGGGAAGGGTCTGCAGGCGCAGTAAGTCACATGACACGATTCGTTTTAGCCTGAGTAGCAGACGTGGAGAATGGATCCACAGCTGATACACTGGGGCTTCATGGAGATGCGTTGCAAACAAAAATAGCTATGAGAGTTGTGTGGTAAAAGAATCAAGTCGCAGTTATGCTGCTCCTCTGGTGTGTAATACGTATTATAAAAAAATGAATATCTCTGGTGGGGAAAATGCGTAGGTCAAATAATGCATGGGAGGCAGTGGAAGATGTTTTGACAGCTCATCAAGCAATTCCAGAATCAGATTCTTCACTCGAAGCTCTTTTGCCTGCAATTACTGCTTGTTTTGGAGCTAGCCTCTCAGCGACGGACACTATCAAGGCGCTTAAGGAACACCAATGCTCTGATGACTTCTCAGGCAAGTCATCAATTTTTTCAGGATATGATTTAGCATAGTGTACTGAAGTGGTTGATATAGTTTATCTTTGGCTAGTTGAGATTGTGTGCCTGAAACCCTAGTGTTGCCTCAACTTACAGTGGCAGAATGGGCAAAAGGAGCACTGGCTGGAATTGCCAAGGGGGCTCCCTTTAGCCTTTGCTTGACTAAACTTCACTATGCAACGGTAGCTCTAGCGGCAGAAAATGCTATTCCAGCAGACTCGCCTGAAAACGATCATTCCCAGGTCTTAGTTTCCGAACTTTGATACTTTTTTTTGGGATTTGTTATTCTCCATTGGGGCGGAGGTGTGTGATGGTTTTCTTCAATTTGCGTATTAAGCTTGTGGGAGACCGTGATAATGACAATCACCTCTTCTTTCATCTTCCAGTTAAGATGGTTGTTAGTCATTCGAAATTTTGTACAGCAAAACAGTCTTTTTAACGCGATATTGAAACTTCTCTCGATCACTTTGATATTGTGCAATTGATCTTATTCTTCTTGTCGCTTATGTTTATGCTATGCTCAAGTACGAAAGGCTTTTGGTGTCGCAGATCGAAGGGGTCATGAAAACTGAATACAGACTAGGTTTACGGACGTCAACGAGGTCGGACTTCGTCGAGGGTGTGAGGGCAGTGCTTGTTGACAAAGATCAAGTAAGCTTGAGAAACCTTTCGTTGCAGTCACCTTGCTCTGCATATCACTCTCATCACTGCTGCTATATGTGTATCACCTGCTATTGTATTATTGTTTTCAGGAATGTCTCATCACATATGAAATGCACCGGCTAGTTTTGACAATGTTGAGAATCTATTTTCTGTTTGTATCCATCTACAAAAATTTGTGGATAATCTCTTGAATTCTTTCCCTATTGCAGAAACCGAAATGGCAACCAGCAGCAGTGGAAGATGTAGCATTACCTGATGTTGTGGCCGTATTTGAGAAGTTTGAGAATACTATGGATGAATTGGAGATCCCAGCTCCGGCTGCCTGATTAGTGGGCAGTAATATTCCTGCCGATCTGTGAATGATAATCCTAGAGAAGCTTAAAGGATAACTCAATAATTGGTTTTGACTAACATGTAGCTTTATTGGATCCCTAAGCAGCTTAGAGTATTGCAGATATAACCTAGTCATGTTAACATAAATCAGAGTTTTGGCAAACTATCTGCGAAACAACTATCTGCTTAAATGTTTTGGTGTTGCAATGAAAGGAATCTTGTTCACAGAAATATTGGAAAAGAAATTGATGATGAACTGAGGCTTGAGATGGGTATAGTAAAACATCTGAATAAATTAGATTTTTACTTCACTTTTGTTCACGAATTCCCATAAGAATGTCAAATTTAACGGCGATATATTATTATCTAACGTATACATACGCTGGAAACATAGCGTGTGCTAACGAATATAGTCCATTGTCATTGTCCTATTCCACTATCTTCGTGGTGTTTACATATTCTCTTCAGATCATCTCAATAAAGAGGTATAACCTCTTTTAACCCTAAGAAGTTCTACTACCAGAAAAACTGATTTTTCGGCGAACTCATCTATGTCTACCATAAATTGCTGAGAGTTCTGATCAATCTTTCCTTCTGGCACAACATGTGTACGTCAATGAAATATTCTATTGTTGCAGTAATCTGATTTCCGAGCAGGCATCGATGGAGGAGTTCACGACATGAGAAGCTGCTGGACATTGACAGGCCAGGTATAACCAGTTCCTGACCAGAACTTGGCAGACAATGCCACATTCGCCTTATCGGTGGGGTGGTATGGATCCCAGAAAAGATGGTCGAAGCGGTTGGGGCACAGCTTGAACAGACTGGAACAAGGGATCACTCCCTTGTAAGTTCCACCAGCGCCGCAACATCCCTCATCCACTACTTTAAAACCTGTGAGGATGTTTCAGCGATGGATGGTTACGCGTCTGAAACCCCAGATAGAATTTAAGTGAGCAAAAATCCAACACCAAATATGAACAAACGAAGCGTCAGCCTTACCGTATGCACTTGGATTTTGGATCATTTCTAAGACACCTTTGTACGCATCAGCATAGATGAACTTCGCTCCAGGTAGCTCAGCATTCAGTTGTTCGACCATGGCAAAAAGACCAGCGTTGAAGTCTCTCACTTCAGCATTCACTTTATCGCTGCATTCCCCATGCCTGCTTAACCGGAAGGTGAGCTGGAAGGGAATACACCCAAGTGGGCCTAGAGACGCCACAACAACCTTGCGTGCACCCATGTTGTACAACCTCTGCACACGTTGCAAACGTAAGTCTAATTTGCAAGAGTTTAGCACGCTAGTAATTTTTTAATCAAGTGGAACCCTGGTACCAGACTGAGGGGGGTGGAATAGATACCATTAGTTGCCCATGGTATTCTTTAATCAACAGTGACGAGACTTGTGATGCGGTGAGGTTGGCAATCGGAGAGAGAGGTTGGTAGTAATTGTTTAAGAAATCGTTGGAGCCTAAGTTGGTAGAGTACAAAGCGTTCGAAATGAGCTCCATTCCGGATACCTCTCCCAGCTGATTGATAATCTGAGCCTTCGTGTTCGCAAAGTAATCCAACTGCTTGTTGAATGAGATCCGCCCGTACTGCATATCAAACAAAAATACGTGGGAGAATTCATTATTTGCGAAGCTAACACATATCACACCATCATTTTATCACATCCTACGAATAGTATGAATTCAACAAAGAAGGACCTCAGCTTACCAGGATGTAGCCAGTAGAGTCTAGAATACCGCCAGCTCCAGATGCATAATTCAATCCATTTAGGATCAGCTTCCCGGTGGCATTGGGGGCCAAGTATGGGGGGAGAAACTGAGTCAATCCAGCGAGCTGGCCTGCAGAGTTTAGGTTATGTTGGTCACATCGAGGTTGATTTCCATTTTATCAGTTGCGAATGAGGGTGATCGTTGTGAGTGGTTACCTATGATATCCACAGTTGTGCGTCCATTGGTGAATCGTCCAGTGGCATAACCCCCCGGGAAGTCCATACCATTTGGCGGAGAATTGGCCTTGGAGAGCGTTCTAATGTAGTTGTTGTTACCAGCATCAGACAATGAGTCACCGAAGACGAAAATAGCAGGCAACTTTCTCTGCGCTGTCGCTACCCAAGGGAGTAGCAACAGGATGCAGAAACGAGGTATAAGGCACGTTAGCCTGAACCCTCGAGTCTCCATCTCCTGCAAGTGACGCCATGTACAGAATAGTTCAAGATGATAGATTACAATGTCTGTAAGCGGATGCAACACTCGCAAGTATTTTCAAATAACCAACTTTTCACAATTTGTGCTTGGTCTTCTCATATCTTCATCCACAAAGATATAGAATCACCCGTTATCAGGTGTTTTTCCTCTAGAAACACCAGCGAGTATACGCCCTTATTCATTATCATGTCCTAGAGCTTGTAGGAAAGTGGAAATAGTTACAGTGACGAACATGACATTTGGGATGTGAGAATGGAAAGGTCCATGCCACCATAATCAAGAGAACATCACCATGGACTTCTGCAGTTAGTCAATACGCAACCCAGTTTTTTCAGGTTCATATCGTTGAATCGAACTTGAAGCAAAATGACATACACAGCATTTCGGGCCTACACAGACGTTATCTCACTGATGAGCGAGCCAGTAACGTTCACAAATGCCTCCCATCCTACGAGTGTGTTCGTGCAATACAGGGCCACAATGCAGCTAGCAAGGACAAATGCTATTTTGACCGCTGATGGGCAGATGCACGTCCATCATGCAATGAAACGTAAGAATAAAACATAGACGCTGCGTCAGACACTAGAGGATCCTTCTCCAACGTTAGTAAACTTCAGTCAATCAGCCAGAAAGGACTGTACATGCAACAAGCTGCCATGACTACAAGGTTGATCCCTGCAACAAAACTTACGTAGCACAGCACCTTATCCTCACGCTGGCTGCTGAAACTTCCAACACAGCTAGAAAATCTTCCGTCTCGAAATCCGGAATCTGCACATCTTATAGTTACCACAAACTTAAACCCTAATATGCAGTTGGGGAAGTTGGCCATGACTTGAGAAATGGTGCAGCTGAGCACCTTCCTCCTGCCAGCTGGAGCCGCAGACCCTGGAGGTTGAGCATCCTTAATTTGGACAGAGTTCGGAGTGTGAAGACCAGATCCGATTGGGCTCTCACCTGCAGCTGGGTTCTTCAGGCAGACCAGATGACCATTTAATACGTTACTAGTCAGGATGATGACTTCCTTACAACGGCTTCTTAATTGTCTCCACCTGGCTTAGCATGCTTGATGCGGCTTTTCCTCTCCATTAAATTTTCCTCATACGGTTCTGCATTCTTTTACAGAATTATCACTAAAAGAAGTTTATGTTATCGCCAGGGAAGATCTGTTTTTATTTAAATCCACCGTACTTTAACACATGAGTTTCAGCATTGAAGACTAATACAATTTGAACCCATTAAGGAGTGAATAGGAATGAATATCTTGACTTTCACTTTGAGATTGGATGATCAGTCCAATGGGCACGCACTAGACTGCTCCAGAATAGATATATTGACAAGAATACATCTCAATGTTGTCGCGACTATCAGAATCAATAATGACTAAAGAGGTTGCCACGCACAAGTGGATTCCTATACATGTCCCCTAGTCTGGAATCAAGGTTTACCTCGAAGAATTTGATTGTTAGTGACACACCAGCCCTAATCAGAGGAAGGACACCATTGTTACAACCCAGAGTCACCGTTCCCAAAATTGTCTTGAAGTATTAATTGTGGAAGTCTTCATTGAACAGTGCTGGAAGTACCAAGGGACACCTGAGCTGCAAACCTCATCCAGTAGGTGTCAGGATCCTGTTCATTCTACGACTACCCAGCCACGACAAAACTCATATCTCAATTTCACGTATTTTGGAAGCAGACCAATTTGCGTGTTCTGCTTGTCCTCATGTAATATCTGCTTGGATTCGAGCAGATCTTCGTGCAGGGCCAGTGTAGCATAGAACCTAGAACCTCATTGGTCCTGTGAAGTGCAGATTCAGTGTATGAGTCTCTCACTCGTCATGGAAAGGCAGGCTACAATGGGATACGGTGGAACATAGAACCTTGCACCAGTGGGCAGATGTACACTGCATAGTAACTGAAGAGCAATTGATGAGTTGAAATCAGAGCAACAGTCTCTTCATTAGTCTGCTTCAAAACCGCCATAAACCAGCACAGAATGAACTGACGATTTACTGGATTACTGAGCCCATAGCAAAGCTATAGTAGTAGTAGACCCACTTATTGTTCTTTCTAGACTTACACCAATCATTAAAATATACTAGTCTTTTACTTAAGCTAAAAGCGGTGAAGCTGGGTTGCTCTGGCCTCAGTCTTTTAAATGTGCATACACTTCGCACACTTTCGGTTGAAATAGTAGCTACAAAAGCATCAGTGATTAGGTCCAAGCAGTTTCGGTTCCTGCTTTGTATCTAAGTTGCTTGCTTTTCAGAGAAGAGTCTGAGTTTTTACTGTTCACAGTGAAGAGTGATCTGCTAGACACACCACATGGTTTCATGCAAGCTTGATATCCTGGACTGCTTTTCTAGCTCAATTTTGTATAGTTGTGTAACAAAGTGCTTGGCTCTTGAACGTCACAGTTTCTGTATTCATGGTGACCCATAAAGGATACTTTGGATCAAGTACAAGACAAATGCAACTAATGCCGATGAACTTCTTAAGGCCAATAGACTCATCCAATGGCCAAAGATGAAGAAAGATTTAAACATTTTCCAAACAATATACTAAGATTTATATATATTACTAGCTATTGCAATATTGCTAGTATTAAAATTAAAACCATTTTTTATAATATTAAAATAATGATAAAAATTGAAATATCAACAAAAAATTTGATTGGTGTAAAAAAAAAACCAAAGAAATATATTGAGTGAGTGGCTGGTTGAAGTAGCAAAAATTGTGGTGGTAATAGCAACATCTATGGCAATGGCAAAAATTGTCTTATATATATATATATATATATATATGGATATTTTTATTTTTATATTAATAGTTGTATTATTCATGTTTATTTTGAAGTATCAAAGTGACACACATGAAAAATAAATTGATATGCTAATTTTGAATTAATTAATGTATCAATTTTAAAAATATTTTTTAATAATTAGCAAATCTTAGCAATGTAAATGCATAATCAATTTTGCACATATTATATACTTTTAAAGTTATTTTATCCCAAGAATTTTAGTTGCATCATGTATCATTTAATGTACCTTGAGAGTAAATTTGTTAGAAACAAATTTAACATTGCTAGTGAAATTGAGAAATACTGAAAGGGTTTACTCTTGCTAACATTATTGATGCTACTTATATGTACTTGGGAGGATTCTAGGTTTAGAATATTTTCAAAGGAATAAAAAATATTTTTTATTTTTAAAATAATGGATTTTTAATCCAATAATTTAAAAAATAATTAATTTAATTTTTTAAAAAATATACAGAATAGTAAAGATAATCCTTTCACAAAATTGCAGCTCAAGGTTTTATTTGTGCATATTGGTAACAAGAAATATTTAGACATATATTATTTTACAACATATAAGTTTATACTAGAACTATTCTTGTTTAAGCTTTTTCACTATTGTAAAGAAAAAAGTAACCTAAATATCTTAGCCTTATAGAGAGAAATATATATATATATATATATATATATATATTTAAAGGAGAGAACTTACAATAGTAAGAAATTTTTAAATTATTTTAAAAATATAATTGTATTTATTCTTTAAGGTTGAAATATAACTATATCTATTCTTTCAAAAAAATTGAATAATTTATAATATTATTTTTTAAAAAATAGATTGATTGAAAATATCTAAATTTTTATTTTTTGTAGATAATTTTTTTTAGTAAAGCTTATTATCTATTTATAAATCAATCTTATTTTTTTTATTAGTGATATTCAAAGAGAATAAAAAAGGTATAGAATTGTATTTGTTTTATTAAAATAAAGTTAGAAGTTGGTAGATGAAGAGGGAGGATTTTCATGTATAAACTCACAATATTTAATAGAATTTTTGAGTAGATTAAGAAGTCAAAATTTAAAACTAGAAATCTATAGTTTAAAAGTTTTATAAGAGTATTTTTTCTTTTAGAATATTTTTTTTTTAAAAAAAAACTTCAGATTTTGAATCATAATAAAAAATAAAAAATCATTAATAAATTAAATAATTATATAAATATAAGTTTAAACATATCAATCTGTATCTTATTTCTAATTATTTTAAGTATTAAAAAAATATTCAAAATTTTAATATATATTTTTATATATTTTTTAAAAAATTTCTTCTTGAAATGAGTCCAATAAAAATTCTAAAGTGCATTACTATTGGTGTGTTAAGGACATGAATTATAAAGCACCAAAGAATCAATGCACTTTTTTATCACAGGAAAATAATAGATGATTACTCAAAGATGATATAATACTAAGATTAGAATGCCTATTGTCAAAGACAAGAAGACTAAAAACTCTTGAAATAAGATGAAGAACAAAAAAGGCATTGAAAAGAGTGAAGAAAGCTTTATTCTTATCTATATATATATATATATATATATATATACATACTATCTAACTAAAATCTATGTGGTGACATTCTTTAAGATCTCCAACATGTATCCAAATTGCAAGATTCATATCTAACTTACAAGACAAGTGTCTTACATATGTACCACATGGCCAACTTGTACAATAGATGGCCACCTTATTGGCCAAGTTTTCAACCTACCAATCATCCACAAATTTGTATAAAATCAAATCCACGTCTAGAAAGCTATGAGATATTATCAAATCTACTTCTACTTACTTCTAATTGATTCTTTTAATCTAGATAAATTTGATTATTCATGACATTATGTCATGTAGAAAAAAAAATTCATTACACTTCATCTTTCTCTCTTAGAGACTTTAGATTGATTCTTTAAAATATAAACCTAACATAGTGAGACTTCTCTATTTTAGCCAATCAAAAGATTTGAAGTTTATAACTCACCACCTTACACCTTAAATAAAAAGACTATCTAAGGATCACCTTAATTGTCATGGAGCGGATCACTAGTCACAGGATGAACAATTCCATTCGCTCATGAAAAGATTGAAATCAGTTAGAGATGTGCTTTGAGGTATGAAAGCTATTCGATTGAAACCTGGTGCGACATCACAGACGTTTAGCGACTGAGCTCCGCATCCTTCGATGACACGGTGCATGGCGTTTTGGTGCGTGGAACCATGATGTGAACCGGCAGAAAGCTGTCGATATTCTGGGTGTCGACTTGTTGGTGTTGCCCAGGCTCAAGTACTTGTTTTGTGTCGTCATGCAGCGGCGATGCCTTGCAGCTTGCCGATTGCGTGTGCTTCAATGAACTTGTAACGGTACATCGTGGATATCTTTAGGGGGTAACTTTGTGGCCTAACATGTTCCTCCATTCGGACAGAGCAATTTTAACCGTTTCTGACCTTTAATGCCAACCCTTCAATTCCCACAACCGTCAATAACCAGCCAACTTAGGCCCTGAGAGGTGCCTGTTCAGTCTTGAAGTGCGTGGCTTTATCATCATTATGGTCAAAAGGTAGAGGTATCTACTATCCATTTATCCCACTTTAATTCACATCAATGTTGCTGTATTTTAGGGTGGGAAGACCTTAATTGTACCGCTTTGGAGCTTAAATGAAGTGATATTTATCCAGAAGTCGTTACCTGGGACAGAGCTTCCCAACATATCATCAAAGCAGCGATTGTAGAACAGAATCGAGAATTCTCGCTCGAGCAGACTAACACACCCAAGTGTGAGGTTCCTAGTGCAGTATTAATACAGTTAAGACTGCAAATCCTGAGATTTAGTTGCAGCTGCGCAAGTGTTGTTGCATTGCAATTAGAAGAAGGGATGTGAGATGGTAATGGCTTTAATGGGGGTGCTATGAGCTTTATCAGCATTTGCAGTATAGATCATGTATGAAATTTAAGGTACGCCGTATCATTTATCAGCGGGACTATGTGAGTGACCGTGGGATACTACTGACGAATTTGCGGTCAGGATGGCATGTTGATGACAAGTTTGTTGACAGTGCCTTCCGTAGTTTAAATATAAGCTAACTGTTTTTGATTCACCTGAAAGCAGATTTCTAGTTCTGTCTACAAGCTTTTCTACAAACAACTTTCGGAATGCTCTCTTCATCCAGACTTGGAATTACTTAATCCTGGTCTCGGGTGCCATCGTCG